AATGTTGAATCTCTTCAGGAGGCGCTCATAGGTGTCGAGAATTTCGTTCGGAGAAGCAACGCGATCAGCAAAGAAGACCACGCCGACGCTGCCTGGCGTATACATATTGTGGATCAAGAATTCGCTCCCAGCAGCCTGCAAGACCGCCGTCGTGCAACAGCCAATTCCAAGAGCCAATACAAAGAATTGAGGCGAGTGCTGGGGATTCCCGTATATGGCGAAAGCCATTTGAGTCGATTTGATGCTGTGCAGGGTTATGGAGCTTATCTAGTGAGGATGGGCGATACCCACAATAGCCGATTATTTTTGTCGGATATGGGTTACGTGGGTCTTGTTCCTGTGAACGCAGAAGTGGGTGACCTTATTTGCATTTTGTTCGGTGCATCTGTTCCACTTGTGCTGCGTAGGAAAATCGACGGGCGGTATCAGCTCATCGGTGAAGCATATGTGTATGGAATTATGGATGGAGAGTTCTTAAAAAAGGAAAATGTTGTGTCTGAAGATTTTGTGCTGCAGTAAGGATGGAGGATGAAATTGAGCAGTAGGCATTAGGGAGAGAGGATTCCTTGAATTAGTTTTATAACTCTTACAAGTAATCCTAAAGGAAGGCAATGGAAGCTATGTGTATATAGCAACGGGGATTTTTTTATGCACGCCTCGAGACTTCAATGTCACTCGAAGAGAATCAATCTTGCTGGAGGAAATGTCGACGATGGCTTATGGTGGTCCGTAGTTTGCCATGCCTGGTACGGTATGTTGGGTGCTCGCGAGTAAGGCGATATTAACCAGGGTTATCGGCAAGAAGATCGGCATCTGTTTCGCTGAGCATCATGAGCAGAACTTCTTTAACTTGGGACTGGAGGTCTTCTAACGGTTGAAACACCATCACTAACAGGTTCACATTGGAAGTAAGGAAGGACTTACTAGCGCGATTCACGGCCTGGATGTACTCTGCATTCGCCGTGGTCATCTCTTCCGCCAATGCTGCTAATCTTTTCGCCTATTCACACGTCAGATGAAACTGTGTTTGCACAGGACGATATTAGTACCTGCTCCTCCTCTGGCTCAGGTTCCGGGAGAGAGTTGATCAAGTATTCGACTTGTTTTGCTTTAACCACAAGATCCGTCACGAGTTCTTTCTTGTTCGCTATCCAGACTGTCGATACTTCCGCCGGACGAAAGTCTACTGGGCGCACCTTCAAACACCTCCGGTAAATCGTACTTCTCCGGATTCCTTTGTTTTGTTACTGGTATCTCGGGACTGACTTGAAGAAAATTCGATCGTGAAGTGAGATATGCGATGCTGTTGGACATGATTGTGAGGAGCTGCGATGAGGATTGATGAGCTCTACAATGGTATCGCAATTGTTTTTTCATTACTCACTTGTTGAATTTCATCTTGAAGCTGTGTTATGCGGTCCATATGCGATAGATCCTGCAGCATTTCGCTGCGTTCAAGTTCGGCCACGTCCCAGTGTGAAGGCAAGAAACAGACGCTGGCCAATGACAACTCGTTTCCCACGCCTCTCTTGGCCTGAAACCACCACATCTTCGCCTTCCCAAACTCCTGAAACTATGGGTAATGATGGAGGAAGCATCCCAGACCGCAGAGATCTAGTTCGCAACAAGCCAAAGGTAACTATCATGTTGTACGACGTGCTACAAATAACCTAACAGAGACTTTTTTACAGGCAGAACAAGCTGACAAGGCCAACCAGACCCGTGCTCGATGGTTTTTTTGTGCTTTATCGAAGGTGCGTTACAATTAGCTATTCGAGGGCACCTGTTTGACTTCTTTACAGCGAAAACTCCAGGAGCCCATCGTTTCATGTGCTTTAGGAAAGCTGTATAACAAGGACTCGATCATAGAGTACTTGCTAGATAAGTCAGCATATGGGGATGGAGAGAGGATATGTGGACATATACGGTCTTTAAAGGTGTGTTCCAACGCTAATGTTTCCTATTCGTTATTCTGAACTTCGTGGTAGGATGTTAAGACATTGACATTAACACCGAATCCCGCCCCGCCTGCCCCAGAAAACGCAGCGCCGTCTGCAGAACGGGCGCATTTCGTCTGCCCGCTCACATTGAAGGAAATGAACGGTCTACAGCCTTTTGTTTACATTTCGACATGTGGATGCACATTTACGCAAGCAGGGTTGAAGACAGTGTCTTCCACTCAATCCAAGGAAGCGGAGACACAACTCGATGTGTGCCCGCAATGCGCCAAAAAGTACTCACGAGCCGATGACATCGTCGCACTTAACCCTTCCCAGGAGGAGGAAGACGATATGCGTGCCAACATGGAACGGCGCCGTCTTCTTGAACCCCCAAAGAAAAGTAAAAAGCGGAAGAACACGACACCGGAAGATCCTGAGCCGCCGAGCAAGAAGCAGGCACTACCAGGGATGAATCCGACCATCGCGGCGGCTAGCCGAGCAGTTGTAAGTGGGCTTGCCATGGAGGAAGCAAAGAGGAAGGCAGGGATGAGTGATGCTGTAAAGAGTCTTTACGGCAGTGCGGATGGGAAAAAGAGGAAGGAAACATTCATGACTATGGGGACCTTCACGAGGGTACGTCGTTTTTCTTCAGCGAGACTCCCTTACTGATCATATCATCGTTGTGCAGTATGCTTAGAGTGTCGTGCCAGGCCCACCTGTATTTTGATGTATTATTTTGTGTATTAACACTACAGTATTAATGTGTTACTTATTGTACCAGGCAAATTTCTCAGCAGACATCCAATATACTAAGCAACACATGACTGCCCTGGGACAAAACAACCGTTTCTGGAAAATCTCGTTCAATCTTATTCCATGGTCCGGTCTGTACCCCACATTTTCCCACTTATGAGGCACGGCTTTGCCTATTCAGATCCCACCACTACCAACCATGATTCTCCTCAAGGCTACTGCACTAGCTTTACCAATTCTATCTGCGCTTGCAGCGTCGAGTAAAACATTATTTACACAGCAGGCCACGGATTATTCTGCTCAGCAGTATGACGAGGGCCTCTTTACACCCTTTGAATCGTTGAGCCTCTTGTCGGAAACAGAGTTCACGAATATTCAACACCCAGTATTCCCCCACTACAATGTTCGGATTAAAAAGAGCCATTTCTGCGATCCGACCGTCAAGTATGTGGGCCCTATGTATTCTATTAATAGCTTCATTGATTATTATCATATCCGCAGTTCATATACGGGATACATCGACATCGAGGCTCGGCATCTCTTCTTCTATTTCTTCGAGAGCAGGAGCAACCCCGATAAAGATGACGTGATCCTTTGGACCAATGGAGGTTGTTCGTTGTTAGGCATAGATTGAGCACAAACTAAATTGTTCGTATTGCAGGACCTGGGTGTTCGTCATCCATCGGGCTATTCATGGAACTTGGTGAGTATCGGCGGTATGAAGAATAACAAATGTTGCTCAGAGTTTTTAGGTCCCTGTAGGGCTCTAAACGGAAATGGGACTACTTTCCACCCAGAATCCTGGAACTCAAATGCCAACATATTCTTCATTGACCAGCCGATCGGGGTAGGGTTCTCGTACGCTGATTACGGGGAAGCTGTGGTCCGTCCCCATGCTGACTCAGCATGTCTACCACCTTAATCTCCCCATAGAGTACCTCTGAAGATGCTGCAAAAGACGTTGCCGCTTTTGTGTCCATTTTCTTCGAGAACTTTGGGCAATTCAAGGGTCGCGCATTCCATATGGCTGGAGAGTCGTACGGGGTGTGTCTCATTACTCCTTGTCACGTATGTCTTTGCTAATCTCCAAAAGGGACGTTACATCCCTCTGTTTGCCTCAGCTGTATACGACCAGAACGCGAAATTGATAGAAGCAGGATTAACGCCCATCAACTTGAAGTCGGCCATGATTGGTATGAATTCTTGGCCATAAATTGGCTCATAGATTCTCACACGTATATGCAGGAAACGGAATGACAGATAGCCATAAAATGATATTGTCCTACTACGATATGCAGTGTTCGCCCGCTTCTGTTGCGCCTATTGTGGATATTTCAACTTGCGTTGTGATGAAAGCGACGGTGAGGCGTTCCCCATTCCACACCTCATTCGGAGTTGATGAAAATCTAGCTCCAACGTTGTGAGAAATGGATGAGGGAATCGTGTAAGGAGCAATTTGACGCGATCAGTTGCGGTGCCGCGACCACATTTTGTTCCAGCGTCTACAACGCACCATACCATGCGACTGGTATATCAAATCGACCTCTCAAAGAAAATGACTAATGTTGCTAATCACATAGGTCGGAACCCCTACGATATCAGCCAGCCATGTGAGGGAGGGATTGAAACACTTTGTTATCCGGTGACAAAGTGAGCACAACTAACAGCTTCAACATGCTAATCTAACTTTCCCAAAGACACATTGGCAACTACCTTGACAAGCCATCTGTTCGAAAGCTCCTTGGCGTTGACCCCTCATTAACAGCAAACTTTTCGCAATGTTCTCCAGACGTCCACAACGCATTCACCGCTACACTTGATATGCATCACCTGGCGACTGACTACGTTAGTGCACTCCTTGACCGAGGTGTGCGGGTTTTGATTTATGTGGGTGCATATGACTGGATCTGTAACTGGGTTGGGAATGAGAGATGGACCCTCGCGTTGGAGTGGAGTGGACAGTCGGCTTTCATTGGACAGCCTCTGAGAGAGTGGACTGTTGAAGGAAAACCCGCAGGGAAGACTAGGAGTGCAAAGGGCTTTACGTTCGCAACAATATATGAGGCTGGTCATATGGTAAGCTGACAGTACTTGGCCCAATTTATGCGTAGGTTAACCAGTTCTAGGTTCCTTATAACAAACCAAAAGAGTCTTTAGAACTTGTTCAACGATGGTTGGCTGAGAAGGAGCTGTAATATATAGTAGTCGATATTCAAGAACGTAAGTGAGTGAAGTTGTACTCAAAGCCACACCATCTCTTTACGGAGGTGAATACTACCAAAATTAAGGAAAAAACGACAATGTTTGTGCATTAAGAGAGAATCGAACTCCCGGCGGGTCGAATCAGATTAGATTCTGGCAACGACCCAGGTCACCACTACCCCATTAATGCAAGACACTCGAAATGTCAGTATTGAGAATTTCTCTAGGTGTGCTAGATTCTAAATTTTTCTGTGGTTGGTACACACATATATTTGTGAGGTTATTGAAGTTAAATATTGGTGGGCATAAGCGGAGTATAAATTTGAATTTAGAACCGATAAATAATTATAACCAGCAATCGGACCCTGCATCTGGAGTGTGCACGCCCCTCAAGGCTTCACTTTATCATCGGCAGTCATCAATTTATCTGCTTCCCTCACCCTCCTGCCATGCCTTCCTCCAAACGCCAAAGGACCGAAGAATCAGAAACAGAGGGGCCGCATGACTTTTCTCGATCGGAATCCATGTGGCTAGAAGACGGCAATATCATCCTCCTGGCACAAAACACACAATTTCGCGTTCATCGAACGGTGTTAGCCATGCATTCAACCGTTTTTCAAGACATGTTTGGCATTCCACAACCTCAGGAGGAGCCTACCATAGATGGGTGTGCGGTGGTGCACTTGTCGGATTCTGCGCAGGATGTTGAACACTTTCTGAATGCTTTGTACAAACGGTACGATACATCATTTTGCGTACCTTCCAGGAATTCCCCCAAATTTTAGGATACTCTTTTGATCTTGTCTAAAAGGTCATATCATACCAAGGCTCTTCCATTGAACGTTTTTGAAGCCTTCCTTCGCCTCGGTCATAAATATCAAGTCCTTCACTTACGTGATGAAGCTGTAGCTTGCCTTGCTACCGAGTTCCCAACAACATTAAAGGAATGGGACGACCTTTTAGACGATTATACAGCACTAGATGTGTCAGACGAGCCAAATGCATCGTTACAACTCCTTCGCTTAGCAAATGAATTTCGCTTAAACCGGTACATCCCAACTCTTGTCCTATCAGCAGCAGTTACAAGCTCGCTCGTCAGTCGACTGCTACCACTTTTAATATTACCACTCATTCTTCTTTCCCTGTAGGAAGATCTATACGACCATGTTCCCCACACAATTTCCGCTAATAACGCCTTGCAGATCGCTATGGCTGCCGAAAAATTTCGCGAAGCACGGAATGAAGTTACCTTTGCTTGGTTGAAACTCCTACCCAGCAACCAATGCACCACAACTAAGGCGTGTATTGCCGCCGCCAGGCGAATAGCCTCACTGAATTTCTTCGAGTTCAAAACTGGAACTTCTAGTACTCTTGGAACCAACCCTCTGACTGAATGGGAAGACTCTTGGGGAAAACGCTTGTGCTCCCATTGTGGACCATATGCCCATAGTTATCACGAGGCGGGTCGCATCTTGGTTTGGGGAAATCTTCCAACGTATTGTAAACTTCCAAAATGGGATGATCTCACGAACTTCGATTAATTGCTGGTAACCCTTTTGTCATTGTCAAAAGGGACAAAATAATAATAATTGATCTACCAACACTGAAAATGCTAATCGAGTAGGCCTTGAGAACTGGGCCATCAAAGGAAAGGGAAAACCAAAAGCACAAAGAGGCCCACGTTCATAGCAATCGACGGAACTTATCACGGTACGCACACAGTACATGTGGAATGGTATTTACGTGGCTCAACCTATTTTAGGTTTACCTTATAAAACGGGAAGAATCTTTGCAACTCGTGAAAAAGAACGCAAGACTAATCGGTGATCGAAAATTTTGCAAATACTAATATGAATTGTTTGATTCAGGCTTGTCCAATCTCGAATTCCCATTCCACATCCAGAACCCAAGAAAGACCGAGTTTTCGAGAATATAAATTTTAATCGTCACAAACGTACTAAGGGAGAATTGAACATTGGTTACTAAGGTTGTCACTATTACATATTCTCGTCAATGCGTTCCATACGTAAGCATCGTTATCAAAGATTTTCTAGGTATTGCCGTAGCCATATCCTTGGGGAGTTGCTAAATTACTTTATTCAACACGCCTAAGGGATTCGCCTGACAGTGGGGTCGCCCATGTGGTGTGCACACGACTTTCGTCCACTATCGCTTTTTAATCAGCCTAACAAGAAGGCTATTGCAATCTTCACCCCCAGTTCATGTTTTCCTCCAGATCCCCAAATGAGCCAGAAACAAAGGGCCCACAATCCCTCGATCGATCGAAAACAATGTGGTTGGATGACGGCAACATCGTACTCATTGCACAAAATACCCAATTTCGTGTTCACCGGTCGGTATTAGCCATGCACTCAGTAGTTTTTCAAGACATGTTTAGCATCCCACAACCTCAGGAAGAGGTCATGGCTGGGTGCCCAATCGTGCACGTCTCGATTCCCCGCGAGACATTGAGCACTTTTTGAACGCCTTATATAACAGGTACGTTTCATCATGATCTAGCTCACACCCTTAAACCTTAGGATGCCTTTTGATCTCGTTTGAAAGGTCATATCATACCAAACCTCTTGTGCTGGATGTATTTGAGGCCTTCCTTCGCTTAGGCCATAAATATCAGGTCGCTCACTTGCGTGACGACGCCCTCGCCTGTCTTGCTGCTGAGTTCCCGAGAACTTTAAAGGAATGGGACGATGGTCCCAATACCTATACAGTGCTGGATATTTCGGGCGAAAATCTTCCAACATTACGACTCCTTCGTTTGGTACAAGAGCTCCGCCTATTCAAGTACACCCCAATTATTTATTTAACAATAGCGATTACGACCACACTTGTCAGTCGGACGTGATCTCTCATATCGAGACACGTACTTATCTCTCTGTAGGAAAGTCTATATAAACATGTCCCTCATGCTATTTCCTCTGATGATTTCTTGCGGATCGCCCTGGCCGCTGAAAAATTCCGCGAGGCGCGGAGGAGAGTAACTTTCGCCTGGTTAAATCTATTGCCTTGTGGTTCATGCTCCACGACGAAGGCGTGTGCTGTAGCTAGGAAATGTACAGGTTCCTCATATTTCTTCGAATATGGTGGTGGACCTTCTGGTGGCCTTTTAAACAGTCCTTTCGTAGTCTTGGGCCAGTGTGGGGGGAAATGGTTTTGCAAACACTGTTACGCGGTCGCTAGGGCTAGTCATGAGGCCGCTCGTGCCTTGACTTGGGAGAATCTGCCGGTGTACTGTGGTCTTCCAAAATGGGATGACCTTACCAACTTCGAATAAATGTATATGTTTGTGGTACCTCATACATTGACGGGAAAGAAGGGGGGAATAATCTACTACCTTCGAATTGTGAATAATTTAATTCAATCTTTCGGTACCATTGGACCTTCGACAAGGCCCATCGAAACTGCACGTACGCGTGTACTCTTTGTTCCCGAGTGATAATGACGATCATACCAGACCTAGGGAATGATATGACTTTAGAATTACACTATAATCAGCAATAAGATATTAGCGCGAACGCCCTTCCCTCAAAAGCGTCTACAGGTTCGAAAGAACTTACTCTGAATAGTCGAAAGTCAGCACGCCATATATGAGCTCGGGGTTTTAGAGTAGGAACCACGTACCTTCAAGAGCCGGCATTAACCCTCGTACCCTGTTGGTGTCGGTGGCAGAGGTGGCACTGCATGTCCATTCAAGTTTGGGATGTGTGTTCCCCGCTAAAGAATACACGTACAAAATATGTACCGCCTTCTCATCCACTCTCCCACCCTTTAATGCTATTTTGGCGAATCGCCGTTCAAAGTATTCATAACCAGCATGTGCATCTCTGGTGGGACCTCTGAAGTCCTAAGTGGATCTTTGAGTCCGGGTGGTTTCAGGATAATGTAAACATACAGGAAAAAATGCTCTGATATCGGATGTCTGAACTTTCTTCTTGAAAAGATCAAATTTGTTCAGGAGTAGAATCTAAGGGTGAGGAAATGGTTTGACTACGTCGTGCTGCGAGTCAAAGGTTCGCTTACTATTAAGGTATCGGAAAACCATCCGCCCCCGATAATCAATTCCCACAATCTCAAGGCTTCTTCCATTTCGTTCTGCGAATGAAATAGTAAAAATAATGCGTGCGCCAAGCGTGCTTATTTTTACAGTGTTGTTGTCCTCGAAGAGGTGCTGATCATAGCCATTGAGGTTCACAGAAAAGACCACGCAAGTCACATTCTCCAAACAAAAGATCCACTTTCTTCGTTCGCTCCTTTGCCCACCGACATCTACTACAGCAGCGGGATAGCCCCGGATATTAAACATCGTCTCCGAGATCCCTGTAGTCCGTACGTTATAGCGCATAATGTCTTGTTCGTTAGGCACATAAGAGCGCTCAAATAATCGATCAATTGAAGAGAAAAAGTACGGAAGGCTGTGGTTATTATAAACTCTGTTAGTAGTAAGAATTAATTAAGCATAATATACGTAGCCTACTTTTCTGATAGGGCCGTATTTTTTCCATATTTCCATGCCTGCTGCATACTTGGATCTTCCCATAAACCTTTGAAGTGTTCTCGAAGAAAAATCGGGAATGGCTCCCCATCTCCGAGGTCGATGATACCTGAGTCTTGTATGGTTTCAAAGTGCCATCTAACCTCGTTCGATACTTTGATATTATTTTCCTTGACGATGCTCGAGAGGTCCCCGATCCCTCCTATCAGGTTGTTGAAGATTAGTTGGCGGAATGTCTCGATATCATTCGAAGTGAATGGTTCATCCTTTAAAACCTGGAGTTGCTACCACATTGGGTCGGAATGGAGTATCTCATAATCCAAATTAAAAACATACCTTTAAAAAGGTCGATTTACCAGATCCACCTGCTCCAAGCAGGAGTATCTGAACAGGTATAAGTAATGCCTGATGTTATAAGTGTTGGGCTCACCTTAATAGGTTTATTTTGTATGTGGTGTGGTTCGATGTCGTCTGTACCTTGTGATATAGAACTGACATTATCCGAGCTGCCATTCCAAACCTCAGGAGCTGAAACATTGGCTCCCATTCTACTCAATTACTTTTTAGCGCCGGTAGAAGTGCGAGCGTTGTCGTTGTAAAGCCCGTAGAATAAACTCTGGGCGAGATCAATAGTGCGCCATCTACGGACCGTGGGCCCCCCCAGCAAGGACTGCGAAAAA